ATTTCTGCACTTTAGAATAAAGCATGGAAGAAATTATCTTATAGGCAATTATAACACTTTGTGAAAGTAACCCACTTCAGACTTGAGATACTGCAATAATGTTTGTCTTCAAAATAGAAAGATGTACTGTTAAGGTATTACTTTTTTCATGCTGATGAATATCTAAATTGGATTATGATGTTAGCTGACAGTGGTACTGATTTCTTTAGGTTGGTTGCTTTGTGGATTTCTTTGGTAGTGATAGTAAACCACATTTTAGATGACCCTGATCATGTATGTATGTGCATACACGTATACAAACACACTAATGGTAGAAAGCTTTTTTATGTGCTAGGCTATTATATTTAGCAGTATGTCCCTGTAACTAGCCAATATCACTGCTTTTTAAAAACTAAAAATCACAGTTTATATCAATATTTCATATTTGCCAATAGAAACATGGCAGAATAGGTATCGATACGTTTTCAATGCTGGATAACCTATAAGAAAGAGAGATTCAAAGTGTCAAACTGCATTGACATTTTCTATAAAACATATTATTTAGTTTATAATTAAAAGCAATCTTGAAGTCCAGTGTGAATTGTACCAAATATACCAAACTTAAAGCTTGCTCAGAACTTCACTCTTAAGAATCAAGTTCACAATAGGTTGGCTTAAATGCTATCTAAGTTCTCTTCCTTCTCTAAAACTTAAAGACAAGAATCTTAGTGACAAAATTGTACAGCTTGGAATTCCATGAATAAGTGTACTAAGACCAACTTTGACTAATCTCTGGAAGCAGAAAAGTAAGCAAAAGCCACTATTTAGGAGTCATGACCTACTTCCTTCTTTAACATCTTTTTAATTAAACTTTTCTACCTTTATTAGTCATTGGTACTTACCATAAGTTGATAATGTGCTGAGCTTTCAAAAAAATATATGTAATTTTTCTTAGTCTTACCTTTTTCTCCAAGAGTCTATCAACTCATCATTTGTACACACACAATCCGATATCAGATCTTCTTTTAGCTCATATGCATTCATCTATTCTTCACAACAGATCAGAGTACTCCAGTGTCATGGCAATATGTTCTAGCATAGAGCTATACACATAGTGTAGTTCTACAAACCTATACCTCATGACTTACCAAAGTTATCTTAGTCTCAATTCCTACTACAATGAGGGAGCCTCAAAAAAAAAAATGACCCTTTTCTAATCCACAATGTTCCCTGGGGGAGCTTGCCAGGGTAGGGCTGGCATGAGGAGTGACTAGCGCCTTCCAGAGGCTCTTTTCCTCGTAAGTCAATAGAGTTGTTGAGGCCTCTAGCTTTTAGCACACCTGGGCCAAAGAAAGTAAAGCCAGCAATATTGCACAAATCACCCACCCATGACAGAGTAGACATGAGTCTATGATACGATGAACTAGAATTCACATGCAGTGCCTGAGTTAGCACTGACTCCCACCACTGGAGTGAAATGGATCAAAGTTTGAATTATGGCCTACGGCAAGATAAAGTTTCTTTGTTGTACTTTTTAATAAGAGCTTCTCCTGATCACTGTTATATATTTTTTCTAGAAAGTCTAAAGTTAAGAAGAGAATATATCGATTGATCCTGACTTTTATTCCAGTATTTGGATGGAATAACTTTTAGGGTAGATTTTTGTTCGGTTTGAATTTAATTTTTTGAAAAAGAAATTCCTTGTTTACTTGTTTGATTACAATTCTCTTTGTTATCTTTTTAAGAGATAAACCTGCAAGGTGACTAGCATGTTCTGTGAATCTGCCATTCCTAAAAATTTTATAAACACGATATTTTTCACTGATAATTGATCGCTGCAATAAATACATATTGTGAAAATGCATCCACAATAAATGGAATTCCTCCAAATGTCTTTGCCTCACTTGTTTTATGTACTATATTGATTACAAGAGTTCTATCTGATGTAATAAAGATGATGGCATAGCAAAATGTGTATTTTAGATTGAGTCTTGGATTCATTTTTTAAAGAAGAAAGCCATTTCATATTTTTAGATACTTCTTATTACAAGCAGTTTTTCAACAGAACATTAAGAATTGCTCTGATTGGGACAACTGATCAAACATATATGGAAAGTTTGAAAAGAGGGATTAAAAACTTTTTCTTAAAAAAAAAATCAAATGTTCCTTCCTCCTCCTTCTCATTCCCCGCGTTGTCACAAGTTCTTGCTCCTACAGTGGCAGTATTGTTTTCTCAAAGGCAGTGTCTTTTATAGTAGAAATACCCATTTAATATATACTGTTTGTCTATAAAATACTATTCACAAGCCACTGGTGATTATATTTAAATCCAAAGATATTTTTTCATAGCAGTTTTATATATTTAAGTAGCACTACTTGAAATCTGAGGCTCATCTTACAAAGGTTTTACTTATTTATTTTTATTATTTTGACTGTGCTGGGTCTTCATTGCTGTGCATGAACTTTCTGCAGTTGTGGCATTCAGGCTTCTCATTGCCGAGCACGGACTCTAGCACATGTGGGCTCATTTGCCCCAGCCTGTGGGATCTTAGTTTCCCCCACCATGGATTGAACCTGTGTCCCCAGCATTGGAAGGTGGATTCTTAACCACTGCACCACCAGGGAAGTCCCCTCATAAAGATTTTAAATTGTGCGTCCAGAGGTTCTGTGCGTTCAGTCCCCTCAGTCCTGTTCATAAGACTGACAAAGAGTTAACTACTGTAACTTAAAAACAACTAGTACTTTTGACATCTCCATCCTAATAAGAAGGGCTCTAAGTTTAGACAGTGAGATAGTTATCATCAAAGTCTATCGCAAAGTTAAACAATGAAAAGCATACAGCCTGTAGTATTAGTACCAAACTGATAGGATTAGGGATGGGTCAAAATTAGTCCTACAGTGTGCCTATTCAGGGTTTGAGCTCAAAGATGTTGTGGTCTTGTGTGTGATGTAGAAACAGGTCTGTATTATGGAGTTTTTTCTACTCTTGCTTGCATGTGTGTTCCAAGTAGAAAGATAGATAAGATCTCATGACCCTAAGCATATCTTCTTCCACAGGAGTAAGGAGATGGCCTAATAAGGTCTTGATTTGAGTGCTGTGTCTATTTGTGTTCAAGCTTATTAATCATGTTGTCCAAATGTTCTATATCCTTACTAATGTTTTGTTCCTTTCTTCTAGCTATGACTGAATAAGGAATGTGAAAATCTCCCTCTATTATTATGGATTTGTCTATTTCTACTTGTGAATATGTTAACTTTGCTTTCATATTTTAAGCTCATGGTTTTGGTGCATACAGAAATCTAGAATCATTTTCCAAGGAAATTGAATTATTTTAGCTTTATGAAGTGCATGTGCCTACTATGTTGCTTCAGTCCAACTCTTTGCGACCCAATGGATTGTAGCCCACCAGGCTCTTCTGTCCATGGAATTCTCCAGGGAAGAATACTGGAATGGGTTGCCATGCCCTCCTCCATGGGAAACTTCCTGACCTAGGGATTGATTGAACTGTGTCTCTTAAGTCTCCTGCATTGGCAGGCAGGCTCTTTACTGGTAGCACCACAATTATGAAGTGACTCTCTAATTATAGCAAAGATTTTTGCCTTAAAGTTTATTTTTTCTATTCTTAACATTGCTACCATGTCTTTCTTTTGGTTAGCACTTGAAGGTGGCTCAGTGGTAAAGAATCTGCCTGCCAATGAAGGCAACACAGGAGATACAGTTCAATCCCTGGGTCAGGAAGATCCCCTGGAGTAGGAAATGGCAATCTACTCCAATTTTCTTGCCTGGAGAATCTCATGAACAGAGGAGCCTGGTGGGCTACAGTCTATGGGGTCAGAAAGAGTCAGACACGACTGAGCAACATGACTTGGCAACTGCTAACTTTACTTCTACCCTTTCACTTTTTTATTTTTAACTTCGCTGCCTCAATGATTAGTTTTAGGTTTTGGTCTCTCTTATTTTTCAATTTTTTTTATTGGAGTAGCTTTACCATGTTGTGTTAGTTTCTGCTAGGAAGCAAAGTGAATCAGCCACATGTGTACATGCATTCCCTCTTCCTTGGATTTCTTTCCCATTTAGGTTACGGCAGAGCATTGAGTAGAGTTGCCTGTGCTATACAGTCAGTTCTCCACTCTTTTCTTTTCAGCCTTTGTGTGTGTGTGGTGTGTGTGTATTTGATATATGATATAACTTTCTCTACACCTTTACTATCAACATTTGTATATCTTTAATTTTGGATAAACGTTCACATAGACTGGTATCCATGGATAAATGCAATTGCTATTAGCTTTGACTTCCTAATGAGAAAACAGTTTGCCAAAATAAGCATTATTATTTCAGTAAAACACATTTATTTTCTACAAAATACCTTTGCCAAGTACTAATAGAAGCAAGTGCTGGAAGAAAAGTAAATGGAAACAGAAATTTGGATCCTTATCCAAGCCAAATTCATTAAGAAGTAGTAAATAATCAAGATTCTAACCTCTGTTCCCCATGATTCCTCACAAGAGATTGCTATTTCCTAGAAGCATACCTTGAAGACAGCCCCTTTTCAAGGGGCAAGCTGGGGCCACCATGCTCCTCTTGCTGAGATTGTTAATAATAGCACTGAAGACCAACAAGGCATCCTGCAACTTGGCCCAGTGATGAGATATTCTGCCCTTTCCCCCCAGCCCTGAATCATCCTCACACAACAAGGAACTAGCACTTAGAAGAAAGAGGGGATGAGTGTAAATAGTAACACATCACTTTCCTCTCACTTTCTAAGTCACTAGAGCTAGGGACAGATTTGGGAGGTAATGAGGAGAAGGGCACTGAATCAAGTTTGAAATGGAAGCGTAACATGTACTGAATATCAAATATCAGATAACCCCAGGTGTTCCCAGGATCCGTAGGGCTTCCTCAGCCAAATGATGACAAGGCCTCTAAGTCACATAACCACTGACTTCTGTGATGTCATAAATAACTGATCACCCTACTCACCTCATCTTCTCATTTAAGTCTCTGCCCAAAATGGCATAACCACACAGAATAAATCAATTCCTAACACAATTTACATTTGGCCATATGTTGCTAAAGTGACCTTACCTCCTGATTGCCACGCCAATGACTGTGCCTTTTGGAGTACTGCTTTGGTTTTTCTTTTCTTACTCTTGCCTTTTATACTGCAGGCTTAGAGGAGATGAATCCATCCAAAAACTGGAGGAGGAAAACTTACTGCACAGGTAAAGCTGACTTCCTAGGAAGCAGAAGCTGCTCCATGTGGAGCATATCCCTTAACCTCTGATAAAATCATAGACAAGGGGAACAAAAGTTCAATCTGCTTAAATGACCTTTGGGTTGAAGGTTCACTTTAACTTGAAGGCAAAGAATTTCATTTTCACTATATTCTACGGTCTAGAATAGAAGAGTAAGTTTTTCTTAAAAAAAAAAAAAGCAACAGGTGCTTAAGGAAATCATTTTAAATTTATCTGGGGAAAAAAGAGAGATCCTAATGAAACCTCTTTCCTTAAAACGTAGTCACTCCAGCTAAACCAGCAGTCCCCTACCTTTTTGTCACCAGGAACTAGTTTTGTGAAAGACAGTTTTTCCACAGACCAGGGATAGGGGGTGATTTGGGGATAATTCAGGCACATTATATTTATTGTGCACTTTTGGCTCAAATGGTGAAGAATCTTCCTGCAATGTGGGAGACATGGGTTCAATCCCTGGGTTGGAAAGATCCCCTGGAGAAGGGAACGGCTACCCACTCCCGTATTCTTGCCTGGACAGTTCCATGGACAGAGGAGCCTGGTGGGCTACAGTCCATGGGGTCACAAAGATTCAGACACAACTGAACAACTTTCACTTGACTTTATTTCTGTTATTATAATATGAGCTCCACCTTAGATCATCATGCATTAGATTCCATAGGTGGGGGATGCCTGGGCTAAACAGAACTGCCTAGTATAATTCATAACATGGTCTCCTCTCAGAGCCGATGTGCTTGCTGACTGTTCTGCCTGCTAAGGTCTCCCCCAGACATCCCCGTGGCTCATCTCTTTCCTTGCTTCAGGTCTCTGCTCAAAAGTCTGTTCAGATACTTTCCTGACTGCTCATCAAGAGAGCCACACCTACTGAAGCCCACGCACCAGAGTACTCCCTATGCGCTTTAATTTTCCATTATATTTCTCTCCACGCCAATTGTTATCACCTAGGTGCTTTTTTTTTTTTTAAACAGAAAGTGGCAGAAAGTGAAGAACTAAAGAGCTTCTTGATGAAAGTGAAAGAGGAGAGGGAAAAAGTTGGCTTAAAACTCAACATTCAGAAAACTAAGATCATAGCATCCAGTCCCATCACTTCATGGCAAATAGATGGGGAAACAGTGGAAACAGGGGCAGACTTTATTTTGGGGGGCTCCCAAATCACTGCAGATGGTGACTGCAGCCATGAAATTAAATGATGCTTGCTCCTTGGAAGGAAAGTTATGACCAACCTAGATAGCATATTAAAAAGCAGAGACATTACTTTGCCAACAAAGGTCCATCTAGTCAAGGCTATGGTTTTTCCAGTAGTTATGTATGGATGTGAGTTGGACTATAAAGAAAGCTGAGTGCCAAAGAATTGACACTTTTGAACTGTGATGGTGAAGACTCTTCAAGAGTTCCTTGAACTGCAAGGAGATCCAACCAGTCCATCCTAAAGCAAATCAGTCCTGGATGTTCATTGGAAGGACTGATGCTGAAACTGAAGTTCTAATACTTTGGCCACCTGATGTGAAGTGCCAGCTCATTGGAAAAGACCCTGATGCTAGGAAAGATTGAAGGCAGGAGCAGAAGGAGATGACAGAGGATGAGATGGTTGGATGGCATCACCAACTCAATGGACATGAGTTTGAGTAACTCTGAGAGTTGGTGATGGACAGGGAGGCCTGGCGTGCTGCAGTCCATGGGGTCGCAAAGGGTCAGACACGACTGAACGACTGAACTGATTGGTCTGTCTTCTCCCAGTAGGACATAATTTTCACAAGGTATATCTGTTTTATTTCCTGCAAAAGCCTTCCACGGGGGAACAGTCCCTGGCAAATAGTAGGGATTGAATAAATACTTGTTGAATTAATGAAAGAATGAGTAAAAACAATTTTCAAAATTTTTTAATTTTTATTACGCACTAAAATTTTTCTCTGTAGGATCACTTGGAATACAATTGTGCAAACATTTGAACTAAAGATCTTGCAACCTAAGTTCCAGCTCTGCCATTCATTTCTTGTGTAACCTGGTTAGATCATTTCTTGGAGTTTCACTTTGTGTGTCTGATACTATGGCTTGCAATCTTGACTCTAAAATCCAACACAAAATAGATTCCATATATAAAAATTGTCTATGTATGTCACCTTTAGTAACATGTATGACCTCCGACACTTTGGCCACCTGATGCAAAGAGCTGACTCATTTGAAAAGACCCTGATGCTGGGAAAGACTGAGGGGCAGGAGGAGAAGGGGACGACAGAGGATAAGATGATTGGATGGCATTACCAACTCAATGGACATGGGTTTGGGTGAACTCTGGGAGTTGGTGATGGACAGGGAGGCCTGGCGTGCTGCGGTTCATGGGGTTGCAAAGAGTCGGACACGACTGAGTGACTGAATTGAACTGATGACATAAAACCAGGTACAATTATAAAGGTTATTACTTTCCAAGAAAGTGTGATCTAATAATGTGCTCTATTTCTTTTTCTGGAAGGGCCAATCTTTCAAACCTCCGACCTCAAAAAATTATGTTATTTTTTGGAAACTGACAAAATTTAACCAGAGACTATTAATCTATTTCCATGTTTAAACTATTGTTTTGCTCTTTATTCTACTGTGAAACTTGCTATGGTCCATCATCTCCATTTCTACAATACTACAAATCTCATGACACATAATGTCTCATGCAGGCACCAAACATTTTTTTTTTTTTTAGCTCTATTTGGAAAACTATTCCAAATAAACTATCCAGTAAGCTAAAGGCCAGGGAAAAATCAAGACTGAATATACAGGAATAATGACTAAGTTTATTATGGGAAAATCATATTTAATTAGATGAAACAGTACATGTAAATGTAATTTGCATAATGTCCTCCGTACGTTGTTATCACTGTTTAGTCACTACCTCGTGTCTGACCCATTTCAGACCCCGTGGACTGTAGTCCGCCAGCCTCCTTTGTCCATGGGATTCTCCAAGCAGGAATACTGGAGTGGGTTGCCATTTCCTTCGCCAGGGCTTCTTCCAGACCCAGGGATTGAACCTGCATCTCCTGTATTGGCGGGCGGATTCTTTATCACTGAACCATGATTATACTGAACCATGATTATTATTCTTAAAGAATCTCTGAGCTGATAAAAATCTCGAGACTTCACCCTGGTATATCTCTGACTCTTCTACCAAACATTTAAAAAGAAAAGTCTCATTTTCCAAATCCAATAAAGATTATTGGCCACACAACTGTGCAAAACGCAACTCAGTGTGGCTACAAATAAAGTTCAACAAAGCACAAGTCTTAACCAGTCTGCTCCACTGTCTCCTCGGAGAAGGGAAACGACAGACAGCTGAGGTGCAGCACCGTGGGAGCAAATACCTGTCCTTCCTCCGCCCCTATAATTTCTAGCTAGCCACCTTCCGGCAGCCAGCGGCACTTCGACCTCTGTGCGTCTCTCCCTAGCTCCCGCCATCTTTAGCGCTTTCCCTTTCAGTTCAGTTCAGCCCCTCAGTCGTGTCCGACTCCCCGCGATCCCATGGACTGCAGCACGGCCAGGCCCCCCTGTCCATCACCAACTCCCAGAGCTTACTCAAACTTAAGTCCATTGAGTCGGTGCTTCCATCCAAGAGTACAGCTTTCCCTTTATTTCAGCTGAAATGCAGCCTAGTTAGGTCTGCCCGAGGTCTCGCGAGGGAGACCCGTTGCCCTGGTAACGAGTGCGGCGCGCCGCGAGGTGAAGGGCGTGGCGGGGGCTGCTCAACTGCGGTAGGGTTTTATCCCTTGTTGGTGCTGGTGGTGCCTGGGGCAGAGCTGCGGCTCCCGGCACCAAAGAGGCGCCTTGCCGGGCCGCGGGACGACTGACCTGGCCGGGAGACTCGGGGCGAGGGGGAGGTGGCCGAGACGGGACAAGGAAGTGCCAAGGGGAACAGTCTCTAAGGGGAAAGAGCGCGCCCGAGAAAATGTGCCCTTCCCGCCACTGCTGGGTCGCGAAGTGAGTGTGGGAGGAACACTTGCCCCCCTTCCCCCCCGCCCCGGGAATTGTGGCTTCACTGTCCTTCCCGCCTAGGAAGTTGTTCCTGCCCGCGGACGGCCCCCGCACGACTGGGCGGGGCGGTGCCGGCTGTGTCGCTTCTGAGGTAGAAGACGCGCGCGGAGGGAGCGCCCCTTAGATCCGCCTGTGTCTGTGACGTCCCTGCCGCTTAGGTTTTACCCTGCAGCAGGTTGGTGCGCCTCAAATTTTCACGTAAAAAGACAGAACCAAGATTTATACCAGTCTGGTTTTCTAAAATTGGAGTTGTGGTCCCCAAACGGAACCTTTAGTCTCTTACCACTGAAGGTATCACCTATAAGACAAGACTTTTCTGTTGTATTCGTAGTTTTTCGCTATGGAGCTTGGGCTTTATATAGTCCACGCTCTAAAACACTTTGTAGAAAGAGTCTTTATATAGTCCACGCTCTAAAACCCTTTTTGTAGAAAAGAGCGTAAATCAGTAGTTTCAAAATTAGTAAATTCCTTTAGTCTCTCAAAAATAGTAGACTCTTGACAAGCGACTTCTATTATTTCATTGTCTTTACCATTTAAGAGGATACTCGCATAGGGAGGATTATGGTCGTTATCCGTACAGCCTTCTGATGATTGAAATTCCAGTAAGACTTACGACCGAATATTTAGAACAGACAGTATCTACAGAATATCAATCAAAATACAGAGAATAAAAGCCTAATTTCATTTGAACCGTTGGTCAAATGAAAATTACGCAGAAAAAATATTAACTATATTGTTGAAACTCAATGCCTGAATCTGGAACTGTAAATTTTCTTTGATTCATGATTTTTTTAAATGCCTCAGGCTCATTCTGAACTTTCTATCGGTGTATGGTATTTAATTGTAAATAGAGGATGTAAATGATTTGGCTGTGTACCCTGGAAATTCCTTTTTCAATTAAGTTATTTACTTTTTTTTTCTTTTGTGATTTTTGTCTCTAATAAAAATAGAAAATGTCTTTAAATCTTTGAAATTAAAGGTTTAATTAGCTGTGTCCTAATTTACTTTATAGAGAAACCTTTTGTCACTATTAATAAAATTGAATATATTTGGGGGTAAACGTTTAATGTGTGCTTAAAAAGAAAACTACCAAACAAGTCCCTTACAAATTGTTTTACAGCCGACCTACATAATAAAAGAAATTTCGAGCCAAATATTGGAAGAGATGTCAGAGGATTCAGAAAAGGAAGACTATTCAGACAGAACAATCAGTGATGAAGATGAATCAGTATGTTTTTCTCAACTTTATCCTACTTAAAACTTATTATAAAATACAAATTCCCAGTAAAAATGTTATACATTCAGCTGACTAACAACCAATTGGATACTTAAATCACTTGTCACTGAAGTTGGGAAATTGATTGAAAGCAAAGCTGTTACTGTGTGCAGTATGCCCTATGTAAAAAGAGAGTCTATATTGGGGTTTTTTTGAGGAAGTATTTTAGATAAAACTTCTCTGAGTTATCTTAATAGTGGGACCTCCTATTTCTAAACTTACTGTGTGTCACCATAATAGGTTTCATGTGGCAGTGTTGTAGCAAAAGTACATGGAAGAAGAAATCGGGGAGGGGAGAAACAGTAGTTTCTCTTTCTAAACAAAATAGTTTAGCAGTAGTTAAAATATTCTTCTGGTCCCAGCACATATTTCTAAGAAATTCCCTTCACATTTTAGTAAAGTATAAATTATCTATGTAATTTAAGGTCCCAAAATAAACTCCCCAAATGAGGTATAACCCATTAAGTTTGCGATTTTCTGGGTTTCTTGTCTTTCTTCCATTTTCCAGTTAATTTTATATTGAATTTAAGTTGTTTTGCCAGGTTTACCAAGAATCTTTAAACTATTTGTTCTCTACAATCATTAACATGGCCTTGCCTTGTGGAAGAAGAGAAATAAAAGCTGAAAACTTTGTTTCAGGATATTCAAAGTGTTGGGTGCTTTGAGAACAGCTGATAATAATCCTTTAATTTTTTCATTTATTAAAGATTAAAGACACACTCAGTTCTAAGCATTAAGATGTAAAATATTTCTGGATTGGCAAGCTGTTTTTAAAATAAAAAATTCTCATTTTAGGATGAGGATACCTTTATGAAGTTTGTAAATGAAGACATCCATCAGTGTGCACTTTTAACAGGTTTGAAATTATTCATATATTCTCCCTTCTCTTTCTGATAAGACCTTAAGTAGATGAAAAATGAGAGAAAGCTAGAAAAAAAGTCTGAATAACACAGGAATTATTATTCTGTTATTGGTAAGGAGAGATGTATTTTTATGAGTATTTTGGAGTTTAAACACTTTTTAAAAATTGCAGTACAGGAGATTTACAATATTCTGTTTCAGGTATACAGAAAAGTGACTCAGTTATATATATAATATATATAGTTTTTCACTTTATTTTCCATTATAGGTTATTAGAAGATAATGTAATTGCCTGTGTTATTCAGTAAAGCCTTGTTTTTATCTATTTTATGTATAGTAGGTTGTTAATCCCATACTCCTAATTTATCCCTCCCCCTTCCTTTCCCCTGTGATAACCATAAATATGTTTTCTGTGTCTATAAATCTTTTTCTGTTTTGTATATAGATTCGTTTGTATTGTTTTTTAAATTCCTCATATAAACCATATTGAAATTTGTCTTCCTCTGTCTAACTTACTTCACAGGTATTTTTAAAAATGACACAAATGAACTTGTTTACAAAACAGAAATAGATTGATAGATTTTTGAAAACAAACATGTTTACCACAGGAGAAATGTTGTGGGGGAGGGATAAATAAGGAACTTGAGCTTACATACCTACAGGTATAATGTTCTCAAGGTCCATCCATGTATTTTCAAGGTCCATATTGTTGCAAATGGCCATATCCCATTCATTTTTATGGCTGAGTAATATTTTATTATATATATGTATCTATATACAATACATCTTAAATCAGTCATCTATTGATGGGGACTTGGGTAGCTTCCAAGTCTAGGCTATTGTAAATAGTGCTGCTATGAACATTGGGATGCATGTCTCTTTTTGAATTAGAGTTTTAGTTATTTCTGGATATAAATCCCAGGAATGGGATTGCTGGATCATATGGTAGTTCTATTTTTAGCTTTTTAAGAAACTTCCATACTGTTTTCCATAGTGACTGTACCAATTTACATCCCTACCAAGAGTGTATAAGTGTTCCCTTTTCTCCACACCCTCTCCAGCTTTACTCTCTGCAGATTTTTTGATAGTCATTCTGACCTGTGTTAGGTGATAACCTCATTGTGCTTTTGATTTACATTTCTCTAATATTACCAGTGGTGACCATCTTTTCCTGTGCCTGTTGGTCATCTCTGTGTCTTCTTTGGAAAAATATCTATTTAAGTCTTCTGTTCATTTTTTGACTAGATTGTTTGGGGTTCTTTTTGTTTGTTTTTAAGTTTTATTGGAATATAGTTGATTTACAGTGTTGTGTTAGTATCAGGTGTGCAACAAAGTGATTCAGTAATACATATATGTATATTCATTTCTTTTTCAGATCCTTTTCTCATAAAGTTTATTACAGAATACTGAGTAGAATTCCTTGTGTTGTACAGTAGGTCCTTGCTGGTTACCTATCTTATATATGGTGCTGTCTGTATGTAACCACAAGTTTCTTATTTATCCCTCCCCCAGTGATTTATCCCTTCCCCTGTGATTACCATGTTTGTTTTCAAAATCTATCAGTCTATTTCTGTTTCATAAATACATTTGTTTCATTTTTTAAAATTAGATTACACATATTGGTGATACATATGATATTTGTCTTTGTCTGACTTACTTCACTTAGTATAATAATATCTAGGCCCATCCATGTTGCTACAAATGACATTATTTTTTTTCTTTTTTATAGCTGAGTGATATTCCATTGTATATATGTACCACAGCTTATCCATTCCTCTGTCGATGGACGTTTAGGTTGCTTCCATGTCTTGGCTATTGTAAATAGTATTGAAATGAACATTCAGGTGCATTATCTTTTTGAATTATGGTCTTCTCTGCATATATGCCCAGGAGTGGGATTGCCAGATCATGATGTTGTTGTTGTTCAGTTACTAAGTCCAACTATTTGTGACCCCATCAACTAAAGCCCGCCAGGCTTCCTTGTCCTTCACTACCTCCCAGAGNTTTCACTCTCCTCTTTCACCCTTACCAAGAGGCTCTTTAGTTCCTCTGCCCTTTCTGCTATTAAAGTAGTATCATCTGCATATCTGAGGTTGTTAATATTTTTTCTGTCATTCTTGATTCCAGCTTGTGATTCATCCAACCTGGCATTTTGCATGATGTACTCTGCATGTATGCATGCTAAATCATGTGTGCTAAGTCACTTCAGTCATATCTAACTCTTTGCAACCTTGTGGACTGTAGCCCACCAGGTTCTTCTATCCATGGGATTCTCCATGCAAGAATGCTGGAATGGGTTGCCATGCTCTTTTCCAGAATATCTTCTTGACCCAGGGATGAAAGTCACATCTCTTACAGTCTTTTGCATTGGCAGGCAGGTTCTGTACCACTGGCACATATAAGTTAAATAAATAGGGTGATAATATACAGCCTTATCATACTCCTTTCCCAATTTTGAACCCATCAGTCATTCTATGTAAGGTTCTAGCTGTTGCTTCTTGACCCTCATACAGATTTCTCATGAAACAAGTAAGGTGATCTGGTATTCCCATCTCTTTAAGAATTTTCCAGTTTGTTGTTATCTACACAGTCAATGGCTTTAGTGTAGTCAATGAAGTGGAAGTAGATGCTTTTATGGAATTCCCTTGCTTTCTTTATGATCCAGTGAATGTTGGCAGTTTGATCTCTGCTTCCCCTGCCTCTTCGAAACCCAACTTATACATCTGGAAGTTCTCAGTTCGTGTACTGCTGAAGCCTTGAGCATAATCTTACTAGCATGTGAAATGAGCACTATTGTGTGGTAGTTTGAACATTCTTTGATACTGCCCTTCTTTGGAATTGGAATGGAAACTGACCTTTTCCAGCCCTTTGGCCACTGCTAAGTTTTCTAAAAATGCTAACATATTGAATGCAGCTCTTTAACAGCATCATCTTTTAGGATTTTAAATAGCTTAGCTGGAATTCCATCACCTCCACTAGCTTTGTTCATGGTAATGCTTCCTAAGGCCCACTAGACATCACATTCCAGGATGTCTGGCTCTAGGTGAGTGAGTGACCACACCATCATGGTTATCTGGGTCATTAAGACTTTTTTTGTATAGTTCTTCCGTATATTCTTGCCACCTCTTCTTAATACCCTCTGCTTCTGTTAGGTGCTTGCCATTTCTGTCATTTATTGTGCTGTCCTTACATGAAATGTTCCCTTGATATCTCTGGTTTTCTTGAAGAGCTCTCTAAATCTTCCCCATTCTATTGTTGTCCTTTACTTTCTTGCAGTGTTTATTTAAGGCTGCCTTATCTCTCCTTACTATTCTCCATTTCTTCTAAGGGATTCTTGCCCACAGTAGTAGACATAATGGTCACCTGAATTAAGTTCGCTCATTCCCATCCATTTTAGTGTACTGATTCCTAAGATGTTGATGTTCACTCTTGCCATCTCCTTCTTCACCATGTTCAATTTATCTTGATTTGTGGACCTAATATTCCAGATTCCTATGCAATATTGTTCTTTACAGCATAGGACTTTACTTTCACCATCAGACACATCCACAGCTAAGTGTTGTTTCTGCTTTGGCCTGCTGCTTCATTCTTTCTGGAGCTATTAGTAATTGCCCTCTGCTCTTCCCCAGTAGTATATTGGACACCTCTCAACCTGACAAGCTCACCTTCCAGGGCTGTATCTTCTTGCCTTTTCATACTGTCTGTGGGTTTCTCCAGGCAAGAATAGTGGGTGGAATGGTTTGTCATTCTGTCCTCTAGTGGACCACATTTTTGTCAGAACTCTCCACTATGACCCATCTGTATTGGGTGACTCTGCAACGACATGGCTTGTACCTTCTTTGAGTTATTCAAGCTCCTTCGTCAGGACAAGGCTGTGATCCGTGAAGGGATGCTTGATCATATGGTAGTTCTATTTTTAGTTTTTTATCTCTTCAAGAAAATTAGTGATACCAAGGGAACATTTCATGCAGAGATGGTCACAGTAAAGGACAGAAATGGTATGGACCTAACAGAAGCAGAAGATATTAAGAACAGCTGACAAAAATACACAGAAGAAATATACAAAAAAGATCTTCATGACCCAGATAACTATGATGGTGTGATCACTCACCTAGAGCCAGACATCCTGGAATGTGAAGTCAAGTGGGCCTTAGGAAGTATCACCACAAACAAAGCTAGTGGAGGTGAGGGAATTCCAGTTGAGCTAATTCAAATCCTAAAAGATGATGCTGTAAAAGTGCTCCACTCAATATGCCAGCAAATTTGGAAAACTCAGCAGTGGCCAAAGGGCTGGAAAAGGTCAGTTTTCACTCCAATCCCAAAGAAAGGCAATGCCAAAGAATGTTCAAACTACCGCACAATTGCACTTATCTCACACGCTAGCAAAGTAATGCTTAAAATTCTCCAAGTGAGGCTCCAACAGTATGTGAACCATGAACTTCCAGATATTCAAGCTGGTTTTAGAAAAAGCAGAGGAACCAGAGATCAATTTTCCAACATCCACTGGATCGTAGAAAAAGCAAGAGAGTTCCAGAAAAACATCTACTTCTGCTTTATTGACTACACCAAAGCCTTTGACTGTGTGGATAACAACAAACTAAGGAAAGATTCTTAAAGAGATGGAAATACCAGACCATCTGACCTGCCTCTTGAGGAGCCTGTATGCAGATCAAGAAGCAACAGTTAGAACTGGACATGGAACAACAGACTGGTTCCCAATCGGGAAAGGAGTACTTCAAGGCTATATATTGTCACTTTGCTTATTTAACTTATATGCAGAGTACATCATGCGAAATGCTGGGCTGGATGAAGCACAAGATGGAGTCAAGATTGC